CATTTATTACACAAGTATGAAAAAAAACGGTACAAATACAAAATTTGCACAAAAATTTCCTTTTGTGCCTCTAGTAAGGCAGGATAACAATTTCTGAGAAAAAGGATTACCATCGAAAAATGGGATAAATTACAATTTCAGCTTTAAAAAGACAAGGAATTTGAAAATGACAAAATAGAAAGCAATTCAAGAAGGCCGAAAAGCAAAGATGCAACCACCTTTCAGAAAAAAAAAAAATACAAAAATATATATATATATATATATATATATATATATATATATATATATAGGTATCTTTACTAATTCGCAGAATAAGTAACATAACATGATTAAAATATGACCAAAAATTAATAATAAAATCATATTGTCAGCATCTTCATCTCATTATTAAGAGAAATGACCAAAACACCTTTTGATTATTTTATCATTTTTTTATTCTTTAACGAAAATACCTACTTTTACTTACCCCACGAGCGTCTCTGGGACATATAGTAATGTTAGAAAAGTCCTTTTTAAATTCACACTCTTCATACTTGGGAAAATTTATTTGAATTCTTTTTGTTCTTTGTTGTCCAACAGCAGTAGATTTTACACTTGTGACTTTTAAGGCTCTTTGCAGCTGCCTGATAACTGGTGACTTCTTGATGTCAAATGTCTTCTACGACTTGAGGTTAATTTGCCTTGTCCCGTTGCTGTCAAAAAGTCTTCTCGCTTCCACTGACCTGAGTTCATATATTCGGAAAAATAGGCTTACAAGGTGCCCATTCGGGTTCTTACTAGAGTTTGAGACCAAGTCTCTCTCTCTCATTGGTCAGTATATACGAGAAATAATTTTCCATAACTTGAAATGGATCGTTCACAATTTTGGCGGTTTTTAACCACTGAGCCGAAAAAGATATACGAAAAAATTTATTCATAAAATACACTTCTCTCAAAAGAACACGTATTAAACTTAGACGTTTAAACATTTATTCAAGACTAACATTTTTGAAGTAGTAAAAATTATTTTTTATACTTCTGCCATGAGTGTCTTTGAAGGATTCTTATAGTACTTCGAGTTTCTTATTTCTAAAATAGCTGTTTTGAGGTTTGTCATATATTCATTAACTTTAAACACATTAATTTCTCAGAATTGCATTTGGTTGTAAATTACTTCAACATGTGGCATAATCTGATGAAAAGCTCTAACCAAAACTTGAAATGATCATCATTCAGGTATCGTAAAATTCCTGTTACTTCTGCAATTGTTTGATCTGCGTTTGATGCTGACGGAATTTCAGCAGAGCATCTTTTTAATTGTTGCAAATTGTTCACAGTCCATATGTTAATGTCCCACCTTGTAGAGGATGGACGTGGAATGCTGACGTCCATATGCTTCTTAAGAATGAATACATATTGTGGTGATGTTGAGAAGAATGTTGAAATAGCCAAAATATTAGAGAAAACATTCATACGTTCTGTGCAATACCTGCAGTATTTTTAATTATTAAATTAAGTTGATGTGCATAACAGTGAATGTAATATGCACTACTATAAAGCGCTTTTAAGCTGTTTTTTTGTGGTGGGGGAGGGTGCCTTTCATGACATTTGCACCATCAAATGTCTGAGCTAACAGTTTTTGTCAATTTCAATGAAGGATTATATCTAATTTTTCTAGAAAACATTTTGATATTTCATCTGCAGTTTGATTTTCTGGAATAAAGAATCTCCAAAAACGCTCAAATATTTCTTCTTTCAACACGTATCGTAAAACGATGACCATTTGCGTATGTTCCGAAACATCTGTTGTATTATCAGTCATCACGGCTACAAATGAAGCTTCCCTAATTTCTGTCCTTATCTCCTCATAGTATATTTGTTGCAGGCAGTCAAGTATCTCATTCTGAATGATCTTAGAAATACCTTTGAAAAGCAGTGAATCTTCAAATCTGGATCTAATTTAGATGCAAAATTTATTAATCCTCTAAATACCACTGGATTTACTACTGAATCATTTTCACCATGTCCATCTGAAGGAGTTTCAAAGTTTCGACAAAATAAATACACTCTATTATTTTGGATGGTGGATGGTATTTCCATGGTTCTTTTTTTCATATTATGCTCATTGGTTGAATGCCTGTATACCTCACTAAGTTTCTCCTTAATATTTACGTTTCCTAAAAATGACAATTTCATTCTGTTTATATTTATACAACTAACTTTTGTCCACATTACATCAACTCCAAACAGCAAATACGAGAAGAAAATAATGCACTTTTCACTTTACAGAGCCAACTTTTCTGTTGGTACCATTCAGAATTAAAGCGACTGAGATATCTGAATATCATGTGTTGAACGAACTCTTTTCTTAACTGTAACTTTCTCATGAAGAGACAACTGTGAAAACGTAAGCTGTTGAAGCTTACTTACTGTCATAGAATTTATTTCATGCGGATTCAAGGAGATAATAGTTAAATTATTAATATTTTCTATACAATAAAACAACCGAAAAAAAAACAATGAATTAAATAGAATAGCTGGAAGCATGATAGTCATCTATAGTTTATCACATTCAGGAATATTGTTCGCGGTTTTTAAGCACAACAAACGCTGAGTCAAATGTTTTGACGGAAGACGGTAGGTACGACGCTGAGATCCGTAGACGTATTGGGATGGCCGATGACGCATTCCAAAAGCTGGGCAGAGAACTGCGAGACAGGAGGATTTCTTTGGTAACAAAGAACAGAGTACTGAGCTGCTACGTGACATCTGTCCTCCTATACAGCAGCGAATGTTGGACGGTCTCTTCAAAGATGAAGAAGAGACTCGAGGCAGCGTAGATGTGGTTCTACAGAAGGACGCTAAGGATATCATGGAGCGAGCGTATGAGCAACGATGAGGCCTTACAGAGAATGCAGACAAGGAGGAAGCTTATACTTAACATAAGGAAGAGGCAGATGAATATTCTGGGACACGTAATGAGAAAGCAGAGCCTGGAGAATCTGATACTCACAGGTCAAATAGAGGGAAAAAGAGACAAGGGAAAGCAAAGCATGACGTACCTCGTGGGCTTAAGCAAGTGGATGGCAGAACGTGGGGAGTTGGGAGAGGCACAAAATTTATTGAGAGTCACAGGGGATAGGAGAAGGGGAGAGCCATGATCGTCTACGTCCTTAAAAGGACACGGCACATAAAAAAAGAAATTATACTCGGACAACAGGGTCGGCACTGCGTGAGCGACAGTGCTGTCTCTGACCAGCATTCAGCTTCTTCCCTCTGATATGTGTGTACATGCACAACAGCCAAACACCGCAATAGTGGAACTGTGAAACACACAGTTCCACACAAGGATTTTTGTAATTTTTCATGTACGAGGGAATGGCTACTGACATTAAGCTTAAGAATTATATAATGTACAAGTATAAAGAAAATTAAAAAAGACTCATTATACTGAATGTTATTAATAATATCGAGTAAAAATAGGGGAATAGTTCCGCAATGCTTATACACGATCCGCCATTACTTTTAACTAAGAGAAATATGAATAAACTCACCTTTTAAAAATTAGTTACAAATTTATACATCAATTGATTTTTAGGGAGTAAAAATTTAATGTTATAAAGCTTTCTTTTGAAAAAATCATATCAGCATTATTATCGACAAATATTTAAATGTTAATGTTAATGCCCGGGACGCAGAGATGAAAAAAATAGTTAAATATTTTTCTCTTGCTCATAGATTTTTTTTTTTACTCCTGTGGCAGTGGAGACTTCAGGGGTTATTGGCCCTCGTTCGATGGCGTTCCTTCGGAGGATTGGCGCAATTGCCTCTCGATTAAGGGACGTGCCTCGCGAAACGGAGTGGCTCTTGCAGCGTGTCTTACTGGCCATGGTTCGAGGTAATGCTTCCTTCATCATTGCGGCTGGCAGAGGTTCGAAAAAAATTGTTTATAGTTACATTGTTCTGGAATTGTCATCAGTGGTCAACTGTACTTGTTTTGTTTCAATAAATTTTGTTTAATTTTGAATTTTCTCTTTATTCATAATTGTATTTTGATAATTTCTTTTTGGTTATAATATTTTAGATATTAAAAAATAGATAGATTATAAACTATATATATTTTTCAAAATACCAAAAGAAAGGATTTTACACACATACACATATATGTGTGTATGTGTATATATATGGTGGACTCTCCCGTCAAGCAGCTCAATTCCTAGGAACCGACAGCCAGACACCAGCACATATGATTTAAGTATAGTGGTGAAGGCTTTGTGCAGAACCAACCAATACTTTATGAAGGGCCGAATACAGAGACTTGATTCACTACGGGCCACAAGGTCCCCAAACAACCCTCCGCAGGTTTTGTATTCAGAATTATCCTTCTCCTAGACCAGTTGCTCTCCAAGGCTATAGAACCCAGTCTGTCCTTCATAGCTGAGGGAGAAAAGGATTAATAAGGGTATGTGAATGTTATAAATTCGACTTGGATTCGACCTCCGCTCTCCGATTCCTCAACCCAGGCCACTATACATCAGTTATTACGTAATCTGATAGTGAAAAAAGACATTTATTTTATACGACTAATATTTATTTTCAGCATAAACCTCTTCCGTGTCAATGCATTTAACTCCACTATTAACATAGATTAAACATTATATAGTGGAGAGCTCGAGTGAAAATTCAGTCCCTAATATATAAAAAAAAATTCGAAAACATAACTAAAAGAATTTTAAGACAATAAACCAGGAATAATGGTGAGTGTAACTATTGAGATATGAAGATGATATGAAGATGATATGAATTGAAGTTTTACAGACAACAGAGAAATGTTCAGGGCGATGGAATGGTGTGAGGTCGTGCCGGTGGTAACGAAAAAAAGGAAATATAAATAAAGTTATATTAAAGAGGATTAATTTTTTTAAAAAAGCAGAAAATGTGGATAAAAGAAATGAGAGAAAAAGCACGAAAGATGAGAAGGACAGAAGAAAGAAAGAGAACAGGAAAAAAAATGGAAAATGTTAAGAAAACAAAATGGAAAATAAACTTGAGAGAATTGATAAAAAAAAAAAAAGGAAAACAGATAGAATGAAGAAGTTAGTGAAGGAAAAGAGAAGTAGAAAGCTATAGAGAAAACGGGAGTTGGAAGAGAAGGAAGAAACTAAAAAGAAACGGAAATGAAACGAAGAAAAGAAAGAAAGAAAAATATTAATGAGAATTGGAAAGGAAAAGAAAGAGACCGAGAAGGAAAGGACGCAAATAAAATATAAAGTAGCAAAAAATGTGAATGAGAAAATGAAGAAATGGAAATGTATGGAAGAAGAAAACTATTGACAGATAAAGTATAAAATATAGATAAAAAAATAAGAATAAGTAAAGGTAATAGAAATTGGTGAAGCAAAACTATATGAACAGAAGACAACGCAAATCTAAAGCAAGACATTGCCGCCAGCAAAGAGATCAAAAACGGAGAAATATAGAAGAAATCCATATTTCACAACCAGTGACACTGAACGCAAGAAAACTTCCCCAAAACGTCAAGTCAGGACACCACCACCTTACCATTTTTCTGGCATGGATGGATAGAAATAAATAATGAGAAATACGAGAAAAACAAACAACAACAAAAAAAAGTGCAAGGTGTCTCCTTTTGCATCAAATAAACGTACATAATCTTGATGGCATTTCTTATTTATCTACAGGGAAACCACATCACTCATTGAGGGATGCTATGTTTCTAGTTCTACCTTTTTTTTTCAGTATATCAGTGAATGGCCAAGAAATATTGACGGACATTTTTTTTTCTTTTTAGATAATCGGCATTGCGTTTAACGAAGAAGGGACCAGGAAATGGTTTATGGCATTATATATATATATATATATATATATATATATATATATATATATATATATATATATATGCAAATAATAATAGATTTGATTATATGTCAACAGATACATAGATATATAAAGAGGTTCCCACACGCATACACGTGCACAGGCATCGTTGTTAAAAAATAATTATTTTTTCGAGACAGAAATATGCAAAGCCGTATGATTTCAAATAATAATAAAAAAATTCAGAAAAAAAAATGTCACTTGTTAGAGGCTCTCTTTATGTACGAAGACACAAAAGTGACAGCTCAGATTCACCAAAGTAATTCAAATATTTTTCACCATATTCCGGTTGTTAGGCCACACATAAAAATAAAATGAATACAATACCTATCACTCACATACACACACCTACGCACTTATATATTTCTTCAGAGTTTCATACTTGAAAGAAGTTAAAAGAGAAGAGATAGTAAAATATTTAAAGGGCAAAAGTCTACGGACTTACGTCTTTATTTACGTTTCTTATTTCGCCGTTTCGATTTTATTTTTCGAATTCTCAATATTTTAGCTTTTTTTTTTTCACGAACTTTCAGTCAATTATTTATTCATTTCTACTATTATAACTTATATAGGTGATAGAATAGTGATACTTATTAAGTTATAAGATCAGTTTATTTAATTTCGTTATTGCATTACGAAGAATTTTCCCCGCCTATATTTAACCAGTTGATATCCACCCACTTTCTTTTTTTATGCGCCGTGTCTCTTCAAAATGTGGGCAGTTGTGGTTCTCCACAACTTCTCATTTTTTTTTGTTACTCTAATTAACTCTTGTTTGTGTACAACCTCTCTTTGTCTTTCTTATTGTTGTTCTACTAGCCATTTACTCAGACTTATTAACTAAATTCCTCACTGTTTTCCTTTGCTTCTTTTACTTTCAATATCTTCTTCATCTGCGTCTTTGTGCCTCGTGCCTCGTCCCTTCAGGACATGGGCGATCATGACTCTCCACAACTTCCTATCTCGTGTGGCTCTTTGCTAAGGCCACCGACCCCAGCTTTGCGCCATCTACTCATGCAAGCACATCAACAAGTGTCTCGTTGACTTACCCTATCTCTCTTGGCGCCAATACGCTCTGTGAGGGTTAACTTTTCCAAGTCCTCCTTTCCTCATTATGTGTCCAAGGAATTTCAGCTGTCTCTTCCTGCTTCTGAGCATGTGTTTTTGTTGTTGCCGTTTTCTTTATGACTTCCTCGTTACTTACACTAGCTCCGTCCATAGAATTCTCAGTATCCTTCTGTAGAACCACATTTCTGTTTCTTCCAGTTTTCTCCTCGTCCGTTGAAATATTGTCTTAGGAATATTAAATTCTCCAAGACTTCTTTCCTAATTGTGCGTCCCAGAAATTTCAGCTGTCTATTTCTATTTAATTATTACAAGTAGTTTCTATTCTTAAAACTTCCTTATTTCTCATATGCTCTATCCATGATATACTCAACATTCGTCCCAAGAACCACATCTGTGTTGCTTTCAGATCCCTAATTCATCAGTGAGGAATATCATTTCTATGGAGAAGATTAGATATTACATAGCAGTTCAGCTCTTTTTGCCGATCCCTTAAAACTTCATTCATCTTTCGATATTCCAATGCACCTTCGAATTTCTGCATTACACTTTGTTACACTACAAGGGTAGTTAAAGTTCTTCGCCTTTTTGATTTCGATGTCCCCGATATGCAATTGGACAGTCTCTTTTCCTAACAATGATGCATTCAGTCTTCTTAAACGGGATAGTTAGTCCTTTCTGCTTGCTTTCTTTGACTAAAATATTTAATATTTCGTCTACTTTTCTTTCTAGATCTTCCATCAACACGGTGTCATCCTCGTAGCGCATGTTACTAATGTTATTCCCTCCCTAATAAACCCTAGTAGTCTTAGGATCATACCTCTGTGCAGATTAAATAAATCCGATAAGAAGATATATCCTTGTCGTACTTCTCTTTCTAATTTTTTATATTCCTTAAACTAATTTAATGGGTTTGTTCATAAGCTGGTTATTCTCAGTTGAGGTTTCGGATTCCTTGAATATCTTTTCTGTATAAATCAAACTTTTCTAATATTTCAAGTTCCTTTTTAAATGTCTTTGTGTAATATATGAGACATAAGTCAAAATCTTTCTATGTTTGTATTGCTCGCTCTGATAGCATTCTGATCATAAACATTGCATTTCTTGTTCCGGTGTCTCGAATAAAGCCACATTTCTCTGGTCCTATTTCCGCTCAAATTCTGTTACTAGTTTTTCTGATTAGAAGCGTAATGATTATTTAAGTGAATCATCAAACTGATTTTCAAGTGCCATTCACATTCGTTTGTATCTGGTTTCTTTGGTAGCGCTATGATGAGTTCTTCCGGTATTTCGCTGCTGTTATATATTTTCATATTTTTATTATATTGTTTCGATTAAGGTAATCTGCTTTGATATCCTGAATTGTTCCAAAGTGTAATCTATGAGACATAGGTCAAAATCTTTCAATGTTTGTATTGCTCGCTCTGATAGCATTCTGATCATAAACACTGCATTTCTTGTTCCAGTGTCTTGAATAAAGCCACATTTAGTCTCATCCATCCCTGCAGCACGTTTTCATTCTTCTTTTTCGCGCTTGCAATTATTTCTGATGTTTATTATTTAATATCATATATTCTACGCCATTTCTGGGTATAATCTACAGTCTCTCTTTCATTGGATCAAGGATTTCACCTTATTTCCTGTTGTTCTTCTTTGTGGATATCTTTTACTGTTATGACAAGTAAGGTAATCTGCTATGATATCCTGACTTGTACCAAAGTTTTATATTTTTCTTAACTCCATATGTGTGTTTGCACATGAAGTCGATATGAGGTTTGTCGGATTAAAGTTTATACATTGCTTTAGGCTTCTTTAATTTAAATATTTAATAATTAATTTATATGAAGTCGATATGAGGTTTGTCGTCTTGAAGTTTAGACATTGCTTTAGGCTTCTTTAATTTAAATATTTGATAATTAATTTATATGAAGTCGATATGAGGTTTGTCGGATTAAAGTTTAGACATTGCTTTAGGCTTCTTTAATTTAAATATTTGATAATTAATTTATATGAAGTCGATATGAGGTTTGTCGTCTTGAAGTTTAGACATTGCTTTAGGCTTCTTTAATTTAAATATTTGATAATTAATTTATATGAAGTCGATATGAGGTTTGTCGGATTAAAGTTTATACATTGCTTTAGGCTTCTTTAATTTAAATATTTGATAATTAATTTATATGAAGTCGATATGAGGTTTGTCGGATTAAAGTTTAGACATTGCTTTAGGCTTCTTTAATTTAAATATTTGATAATTAATTTATATGAAGTCGATATGAGGTTTGTCGGATTAAATTTAGACATTGCTTTAGGCTTCTTTAATTTTTGTAGTTTTAGGCTTATTTTGCACATGATCGGGGTGGTGATACAACAGTCAATTCTTGGGTATCTTTTAGAGTGTAACACTGCATTTCTAAATTAATTCAAATAATATATATAATAAAATACAAATAATATATATAATAATGTATAATAACATATAAAATTTTAGAGTTTAAAACTGCATTTCTAAATAAAATATTCCTCTTGTAGTTAAAACTGATATTACGTGAAATCGAGTCGTCTTGCAGCACCAACATTTTAATACTTAATTAACATAATCTTTTTCTTTTTCATTTTCATATCTATTTTAGTCTTACTATTGGGTATTGTGCATAATTATCTGGTGTTTTTAAACAATATTTATTATGAAAAAAACATAACAATTCAACAATAACATTTTAAATGATTCCGAAGCGTATGATTATCGACACGCATTTTTTATAACCTGAAAATAAAATATTTTTATTAAAACGTACACAAAACAGCAATTTTTATTAACAAATAACTCGCCTACAAAAACGCCTGATAATTATGCACCAACCCAATATATGAATTTTCCTTTCTTGATCTATGCTTTTCTCCTTCTCTCTGCTCCTCTTTATCGCATATACAGACATATACACAAACAAACACTCATTTAACTGCCCAAATACCGCTTAATAATTCCCTTGAGATGCAAAGACAACTATAATGTAATTCAATTGCATTAATTCCAGGCTATTAGAATATATTTTTCCCAAAGAGTATTAAACCCTATAGGATGCTTTTTGCACAGTCAGGCCATTTCAAAAAGATTTGGTACAGGAGCGTCTAAGCAGAACAAGATATCAAAAGAAAATGAATAAACTGAAGAAGCTCCCAAAATTGGCGACAACTACCTAATAACCTGTAGTTCCCCCACGTTGTCTGAATAACGGTGGCTACGCGACAGTTTCTGTTCTAAATCGAATTTCTAATTCATTCATTTTTTTATTCTTGAAACGGCTTTAAGTGTGCCAATGATTATATGTACGATTCTAATTCTTATTTCACTCTCTTTTATTGGCTGACTGCAATAATGTCATGGTTTGGACCGGCTAAACGCTTTCTAGAATCCCAATTTTTTCCATTTTGGAAAAGGGTTTTGGCGGATCGCTTCTATTCAAATTATTATCTAACATTAACCTTTTAGTTCATAACCTTAGACAACCTTAGTATCAGCCATGCTGATACTAAACTCTAGGAGGGCAACACTACGCATTTTTGGCCACACGTTTTCTACTGACCTGAAGTGGAGCGATTATATCGAATTAACTGATATGTTTGCTGCCAGGAATGTTGTTTAACTGTGTTGTGTCAGACAATTTTTCCCAGAATCCATCTTGCACATTTATAAATCTACCATTCGCTCGTGCATTGAATACTGTTGCTAAATCTGATCTGATGCTCTTGCTGTACATCTCGAGATTCTTGAGAAAATTCAAAGAAGATTCTGTAATGTAATCGATCCTGACCTGGCATCTCGACTTTAGTCACTTTAGTCTGTCTTTTCAACAAATAAAGGGTCTTCCAATAACTTCGACCGATTTTAAATGTGAATTAAGTTTAAGCGTCTAATGATTTTTTTTTGTTTCAGATTTGGCGGATATATAGGCAATATTATTTTTCGCACATAATTGCCATGACTTAAATAACATGATCCAATAGAGAAATAAATACATTTTAACCAATAACACTGATTTATTTACTGTTGACTTTGATCCGTCTTAATGAAACACCCTTTATTTTTATGTCAGCTGTTTTGATGAGTTTTTTTTTTTTACACTGGTACTCCGACTACATGAATTTAAGCGTGCTTTCTAAATTGGCAACTAGGTTTCACTGTTTTACTGCTGAACTAGTTAGAAGCCACTTCTACTTTAACAGTTGCTTTTCTCGCATCTCCCAACTGTGGAATTCCAATTTCTTGCTTCCCTGATAACTACAATCTTCAAAAATTTAAGTGCAACATCAATTGCCATCTCCTGTCTTCTTGAATCCCGTTCATTTTTAGTCCTTTCATCATTCTTCCTGAATAAATTATTCTCATTCTTTTTTACATCCTGTAACCCCTGAGTTTTAGGGGTAATGTCCTCTTGCATTATCGGGAAACGATTAAAAACTATTTCCTCGCTCTCTTGATCATTAATTGTATCATTTATTGCTAGTATATACAGCCATATCACGTTGAAACACCGATTCTGACCGAAGTTAAGCAACGTTGTACCAGGTCAGTACCTAGATGGGATATTGCTTGGGAATACTAGGTGCTGTAAGCTTGGATGTGCGGGTGGTGTAATGGCTAACGGTTCGGAAATAGAACTCAGCCCTCCGATTTCCAATTTCAATCGGGTTCATTATATTCACTTATTCGTAAATACCCTTGGGAAAGATGTGAATCCACTTCTTCTCCTCTAGCTATGGGTTAATTAGTAGGATTTATGTCAATAAATCGTTATCATCTCTAAAAAAAATTCTTGCAATCTAAAAATATTTTCTGGCTTTAAATAACCTGCAAAAGTTTGCTAATCCGTAAAAAAACAAATCGATCAATCAAATGCTTATATAACATTTTTTTTTTTTTTTTAATTAACAGAATTATTTATATATGGATCGGATCATCTGCCTCGGATCAGAATATCTATCTAGGATCAAAGTAGCGTTTTCCTTCACTCTTCCCTATTGTAGTATCTGTTCTTATTCTCTGCCACGTTTCCGTACAACAGTGCAAGTCATCGACGCCGTGTTTCTGTCACATTTCTCTAATCACAGTTCTGTGGATCTCCCTCTACGGCAACACCACCCTCATCGTACAAGAGTGTGTGTCTGAGTATTCCGACGCCGGCTCGACACTGGCCACAGATCTGTGCATTTTTTTCTTCTTGCTTACATGTCACTAAGCACAAGATCTACCTGGAGTTGGCTGAAAAGGTTAGAAGTGCAGCACCTATGTGTTCGGTAAAATGTCACACACACACACATATGACCACTATACATATATATAGAAATGTTGGTAGACCTTGGCTCAGGTATGAAGATAAATTGAAAAGCAATCTTTCTTGCGTCAACATTCCATTCAAGAACTTTGAAGAGGTAGCTATGAAGAGATCAGAGTATCCTTCTATCTGCCATTCAGGAATAATGCACCATCAAGAAGTAAGCATCAGTCGACAAAGTGAAACACGAAAGCAAAATAAGACAGTTAACAGTGTTTCTGCTGTACTTAGACACAATACATTCTCCTGTACTGTTTGTGGTCGTTTGTGCTATTCTCGAGCCGGTCTCAAATGTCATGCGCGTCATGGGCATGAAAATAATTAGTTTGTGGTCGTCGGAACCTCATACGTCGAACTCGACGGGAGAGTTCATCATATATATATATATCCAAATGAAAAGAAAGAACAGTCACATTTATAATCCAGAGTTCTTTTTACTTTTTTTTTTTTAAAAATAGTGCACGATACATAATAGAGCATAATATATATATATATATATATATATATATATATATATATATATATATATATATATATATAAAATGTAGCCACTGATGTCAATATCGAGTGACAACAGTCTGTTTCATGCTTGAACACAATCTTCAGGCCATCTTCATGGACTGAAGATTGCGTTCAAGCGTAAAACAGATAACGCCAATGTGACACTTCTTATATTTAACATGCTCTATCCCTAATATTTAGCACTTTTATCCTATAAATATGACATACCTTAAAACTATATTTTGTCTTTTAACAAATTTTATGTTTATTTTTTTCATATTTATATTAATCAGAAAATTTTGAAAAAGATGTTTGGTTAAGGGAAATCGGCACTGCAACTAGAAATAATGTCATGCTTTTATTTTTGTTTTGTTTCCTTTTTTTATATTATTAGAGATTAAATTCAAAATAAATCCCCACATTGAGGGATTAAACAGTGAATTGGATTTACTCAGAGAGCATAATTTCCACAAGAAGACCTCTAACCAAAAGCATTCTTTGTTTATTTCTCGCATCGCCGAAAAAGAACACAGACGTGTTCGAAAATTACGACATTAAAATCTATCTCTTCGTGCTTCAATTCAGTGAAAAGGTTAATATATAATAAATATTGATTTTATTGACTATATTGGTATCATTTTGTTGTCTTTTTATTCTTCAAAATTTATTAACCGGCCTACTAACTCAACACACACACACACACACACACACACACACACACACACACACACACACACACACACATATATATATATATATATATATATATATATATATATATATATATATGAACACATTTTCTTATTTTTTTTTTGCTTTCGTTGGGGAATCAATTTACAATTACTTGGCATAGCAAACTACGACAGATCTGTTAACTTTAAATTTATTTTATTTTTTAGATTTGTAATCCGGAGTGTTTAATCTATAATAATATGAAAAATATTTGAGAAAATATATTTCTGATTGCAGTTCCAATTGTAAGACTGCGCAATTTTTTCTTCTGTATTTTTTTTACGAGTGCGCCTTTTGGTAGGAGAAAAGGACTAAATAAATTTGTGAAACGTTGTGTCAAGTATATTGATCTGGTTAAATTAGTAATGATTTATTATTTAAACATTCAGACAAATATACACACACACATATTTATTTCATTTTTAATCTGATGAAGCCTAATGAATATGAAACGCGTAATCTAGTTTCAATCAAACGGTTTTACATTTTTCAGATAGATAGATAGATAGATAGATAGATAGATAGATAGATAGATAGATATGAACATACTGTCATCGATAGATATATAGATAGATAGATAGATAGATAGATAGATAGATGTGAATAGGCATAGATAGATAGATAGATAGATAGATAGATAGATAGATAGATGTACCTCCACAAAATCGATAAATAAAAAGCATGCTATGACCAAAAATGCCACAAATTTGATAAAAACTGAGTTTTATCATCAAAATCTGTGTTATTAATAGGAAAGACCAAAGCAATTGTAAGACACATGAAAGACACATTAATATGGAAATTCCTGCAAAAATCAAATAATTGTTGGATTTTAATGAAACTTTTAGGACTTATTAAAAGATTAATGAAATTATTTTATAAATGATTTTTTTGTAAAAATATTTTTATGTTTCACACCACTTATTTAATTTTATGAAAACTCGAGAAATTCAACGAAATAATTTTTAGTGACTATATTAGTTAAAAGCCGAACTCCTTGGAGAATTTAAATCATAATTTTTTTTGTAAAGTCAGACCCCATGTTACCGAGAATCTCATCTGCATCCTAAAATAAAAAACGCAATAAAACTAAACATTATTTAATTATAAAAGCTTTTAATTGCTTTTTAGGAATAAGATATATTAAGGACACTATTGTCTTTAAAAAAGATTTGTTTTTATATTTTGAATAGAATAATTATTTCATTAGAATAATTTATAAAGTTTTAAATCTTCTAAAAAAATTTTTCAATGGTATAAAGGTTATTGTTTTTTTAAGTAAAACTATATTTACTAATCATAAACCGAAAAGCTTATTACAATCCGAGGTATACTGGTATTTTAAAAAGAATTTTAAATTGTTTTTGTATGTGTATAAACGTATAGTTGTTTCTAGATACGATTGTTCATACACGACATTATCAGAAAATAAGAACGATAACTATAGTGAACTTAAAGCCAAAGTATCTAACATTCAATAAAATATTAGATTACGGAGAATATTTTCATAAATTTTTGAAATTACTGAATAATTAAAAATTATATATAAAAAGCATTCACGTTATATTACTCAACTATTTTTTACGTATAAAGACCCCGTAGAACAACATTAGATAAATATCGATCTGTCATCAAACTGTCAATACCTCAAAGTTTTAAATAAACAGCTACCGCTGTGTTAAAAAATGCATTTCTGCGATGTTTTAAACTAAAAGTGAATTATAGTTGTTTCAAATTAGATTAATTATACTTTAAATCAGTTAATATTCTTTGAAGTTTCAACAAACTATATTTTATTTTGGAAAGATTTTTTAATAAAAAGAATTACATACTGATGACCCGTGGCTAAAAATGGCACTAAAATAAAAAAAATTCAGCAATTTTGAAACGAAAACGCCTTCTAATCAATTCAAATTAGTTTTGAAATGCAGCGAAGTATTTTGACTATTGTAAATATTAAATTAAACTATTAGCTTGAAATTAAAACTAAAATAAAAGCTTCAAGAAAGATTTTTAATTTAAAAATTCATTTTTAAACATTAGGTATCACGAATCTTTAGAGGTACACACACACACACACACACATATATATATATATATATACACACACACACACATATATATATATATATATATATATATATATATATATATATATATATATATATATATATATATATATAAGAAGAAATATAGTCTTAAGATGTGCTATATTTATGGGATAAAAGTGCTCAATAGTAGAGATAGAGCGTGTTCACTTTTATATTTATTTCGTTTCGTTTCATCTTTTGGAAGTGCTATCTGATGATCCAGAGTACTTTAAAAGGGCTCTGGTGAAATAAATTATTATAATGGAACCTTAAAGTGGTCTGTTTTCTTTACAATATATATATATAGTAAGGTAATGAAGTGCTTTGTAATCCGTGTGGATAATCCCAAAGAGGATGTAATCCAGAGAGCTCAATGTAACATCAGAGTAAATATTAATTAAATAGTTAAGAAAGAGACAACCTTAAGGTTTCATGATTATAATTTATTTCCCCAGAAAATATATTTTTCCTGGTTCGTCAGGTCAATTCTCTAGTTACAAATGAATTTGGTTTCTTTTATATATATGTGTATGTGTGTGTGCGTTTGCATGTGGTTCCTTTTATATATATATATATATATATATATATATATATATATATATATATATGTGTGTGTGTGTGTGTGTGTGTTTCTTTTATATGTATATTCTTTTATATATGTGTGTATGTGTTTTCATGTGAGTATAAAAATATATGAATGATGAAGTGCATTACAAATTTTGCAATAAGATTGTTGAAGCGTAAAAGATTTAGATATGATTTCTTTACGCGTATGAATGCAATGATAACGAACTTCATCTTTGGATGAAACCACAATCCGCTTCTTTACAGTTGATTTCAAAGCAATTGCAGAAAATTATCAAAGTTGACTACCGTTTACCGGACATACGATCCTGGAAGAAGAAAATGACTTGAACAAAACAGCTGTCTAATAGAGATTGGTAAACAGAGGTAGAGTACATATAATGGCGAAGAATCCCCAAAATATAAAAAGTAAATAATCTGCTAACCACGTAAACAATGTCGAGGAAATTAAAATAGGCTCATTTTTAAAATAGGTTTATTTTTAAATTAATATGGGTTCATTTTTAAAATAGATTCATTTTTAAATTAAAATAGGTTCATTTTTAAAATAGATTCATTTTTAAATTAAAATAGGTTCATTTTTAAAATAGATTCATTTTTAAATTAAAATAGGTTCAGTTTTAAAATAGACACATTTTTTAATTAGAATAGATTTATTTTTAAGCGAAAAACTTCATATTTTCATATAATGATTCTTATTCGCACACATCACACTTCATGTCTTTATTTTAATTTTCGCCACCGTAATTATCAGCACTGTATGTGTGTTTATCAATTAGTCAATTGATTTATATAAAGCCGTTGTCTTCCTCCAGGACCCCTTTTCCCCGGTAAACGGTAGGCAAACCAATATTAATTATATGCTCATCAGAACATCAGCAAGTAAACACACACAGTTTTACAAATATTTGTCCTCAGGGTCATGCCGTTAAAATTTCTTTTAACACATACCCTGGTACTAGACACGGATCCCACACTCTGAAGTGTCGTCCCGTGGGTGGTATGATGCGACAATCTTCCCAAACGGATCCCAGGGTTCAGAACCCTTTTCTCTCGTCCCACCCTTGCCTTACTCTACAATTTCCCTACTCTACTAGCTGCGATGGCTTCTACCGTAACCCGGAAACCAAATTTCCTGTGGAAGGGCAGTCTACACACAATACCTGCATCTAGTCGCCAATAATTTGTTTCCGATCGACCATGCTAATTGTCTCATAGAGAAATGACGGGACTTACCACTTCCGCTTTCAGTAAACTTCATTTTGTTACTTCTGAGAATCTCTCTTTCTCTTTCACTTCCCCACTATCGTCGTCATTAGATGTTAAACTCCTCCTCCATCCCATTCCGTCTTTTTTTTTTAATACTCAGTGGTTGAGACTGGGGAGTCGAAGAAAAAAGACTGCAGAGTTATTACTCTGTGTGTGTGTGTGTGTGTGTGTGTGTGTGTGTGTGTGTGTGTGTGTGTGTGTGTGTGTGTGTGTGACGGAAAGGGAAGTATAGAGGTGTTTTATGAGCATTTTTTAAAGAGAGAAAGAGAAAGATTTATCTTGCGTATGTATCGTGAGAATAAAAGGAAGCGAGCAGTTAATTTTGAGCAGATGGGACTTTGTGCATGGGAAAAGAGGGAAAGAGGGAATTGTTTTGCATGCGTTAGAAAAAGAGAAACGATTACCTTGACTGTGTGCTTGAGAGAAGAATTTGAGAAGTAGAGAACAACAAAGAAGTTTCAGTGAGTGAGGGAGGATATCGAAGAGAAAAGGAGAAATTGAGAGAAGTCAGTAGACGATGTTTGCTATGTATGCATCAAAAGCCGGAAGATAGGGAAGGAAAAAATGTTGGAAAAGTAAATTTGTTTATTAATACGTTTTTTTTTTTTTTTTTTTGGTACACATCTGAAGATGAATTTTATATGTTACCATATGAAAGACAGAGAAAAGAAAAAACATCCCTATGTTCAAGTGAAAAAGACAAACATTGCAAAGAATTACAAAAGATGGACAATTGTCGAGAGCTAAGACTGGTCGTGTTCTGAAGAAGAAGAAGAAGAAGAAGAAGAAGAAGAAGAAGAAGAAGAAGGGGAAGAAGAAGAAGAAGAACTACGAATTTTTCTTCTTTAGATTTTATGCATCATGTGAAGGATCACATCTTTTGTTGTGTTATTACTTTTATTCTTTTATTTATATCTGCCGTATCTATGATCCACAGTTTTTTTCTAATTCTGCACACTTTTTGCTGAGCCATTCTTCTGTCTGCTTTCATCTGATTTTACTTGTTCTTAATATACTATATTCTGTACCATTCCTTGAAGTTGCTTTTTCGTCATCTCAAGAATTTCATCTGTCATCCACTTATTTTCTTTTTTTTTCTCGTCTCTCTTTTCTTGGGATAAACACGTTCTCAGATGTCATAATGCTTCCCTTAATACACTGAAATTTTGACCCCACTTAAGCTATTATATTTGTTCTTAACTCCATAACGACTGTCTGAGAGTTGGGTCATCCTGGAGTCTTGACGTACCTTGTTTAGGCGTGGCGTTGTTTTGGATTTTGTTCCGGAGTTTTCATATGACTTGAAGATTGTCACTATCAAGTAATCAGGTGTTTCTAGTAGTTCAAACAGACCTTTGTGTCATCACTTACCAAATTGTTTTTGTAGTCTATAAAAGATAGATATATGTGTTTTATTCTATCTGACATTCGAATTATTCAGATCACATTTCTTCTTCCAGTGTCTTTAACGAAGCCACATATTTATTGCCCTATTTCCGGTCTAATTCTGTTACGCAATCTATTTATCAGAACTTGCATGATGAGTTCAGTTATGTGACGCATTGAGTTAATTATCTATGGAATTTAAAAGGTAGCGTATTTGTGTCTATTTTAGGTGAAGGTGCGTGTTCGTATATGACAAACAATTAAAAAGAAGCATACAAAAACTTAGGTTTCTCCTACGGACCGTTTATTCTCATTTATGGTGACTGTAGTGAAACAAAGTTCACAGTGTCTCTTGGGTATGTCCGTTTTCTTATTGGTGCAGGAGTTAGGGTAGTTAAATATAAGCATTGCATTAATGGTCGAGCTCAAGACAGCTTTGCGCAGAGTTGAAACAACCAAAGGAAGTTTTGTACCTACTTTATCGTTGGAAACTTTAAAGTTTATGGTATGTCCTGTTTCTTTTTTTGGTTCAGAATTTAGGGTAAGTATAAGCATCGTTACGATGATCGCGCTCAGCCTTGCGATGAGTTGGAACAACCAGAAAAAAAACTTGACTTACTTCATAGGTGAAGATTTTGGAAGTCATGTGCGAGCGCCATGCGTTGGAAAGTGAAGAGAGTTCAGTTTTCAATGGACCAGGGAAAGTAACATACCCCAGTGGGGATGCAATTATCACGATGTTCTACATCTTGGAGCAAAGAGGAGAAAAAGAGTGAAGAAGGAATTTTTTTTTTTTTTTTTTACTTTTTTACTTTTTATAGATTTTAACAGCGTCACCGAACCAATCCTGGTTCTTTTACTTTTAGCATCATGGGGAATGTATTTCTGTTTATTTTTATTATTATTCATTATTTTTATTTTATTTATCGATTTTACTTCATTTCCCCACATATCCGATGACGCTTGCAGTCATTTGCACCTGGCTTTTTATGTATGCACTAAGGTCTTCCGGTATGTCGCCACTGCCATATATTTTATTTATTATTTCTGTAATCTTGTCGGTCCTTAAATCATCTAAGGCTGATAGCATCACTATTGCAATCCCATCTAATCCTGCTGCTTTGCTGATGTTCATTTTGACCAGCGTGGATCTTACCTCAGACTTTCATGTTTCAAGTCCTTCAATAGCTGCGTGTATTTTGTTTTTATTTTGTCGTGTATGAATTATTCGATGTATTCGTTCCATCTTTGAAGTATTATTTTTAGGGATGTAGATTTACATTGTAAATACTTATCCAAGAGCCAACTATGCGAGTTATCAACTTCCAATCATATGCAAAGTAAGAATACAATTATGGAAATTAAAGGAAGCCAACGCCCCACTTAAACTACAATACGACAAATCCTTGAATGACTTAACTTGTAAAGACATGTATACTGACAGAGTCGAAATCATAAAATAACTTGAATGAGACTAGAAAATCAAAGTAGAATACATTAAGAGAATTTCTAGTGAATGAAAAGTTGAAATTCACAATATAATGAAAAAAAAGAGAGCGAACAATACCAGATCATAGAATATTGAACACACAAATTAGAAACAAACACAGGCAGGCTAAATGATTCGACGGAAATTGTGCAGAGGCAAAAAGAAGGAAGGAGTATTGTAGATAAAACAAATATTCATAAAATAATTAACAGGACAAAAATGAGCTCATCAACAGGATGTATTAAACTAAAAGAGAGAACAGTCATAAAAAATACTTCAAAGATGCAATGAACAGGTTGGAAAATCTTTCACGCCGAGGAGAAACTTGGAATACACAAAGATATATGCGTGCATGCATGCGTGTGTAGGGGGTTATGAACATACAATTCTGATTATCAAAGAAATACACACTATTTAATTATATATTTATAGTTTTCCTAATATTTTTCACTTGCGAATCTCTTACTTGTGATAGAATAATTGTTTGTACATGTTTTCCCGAACGGGACCTAATACTGCATAACATAAGGATATGAAATTACTTTTACCTATTGGTTTTTTGAATGGCACGCCCAATTTCCTGAGGAAAAATAGTGTGTATTAAATTATTGTTTGTTTCCTTTCGTTCTCACTTGTTCACTCACACACACTCTCATATACATAACCATATACAGAAACAATGATTAAGTACAATGTTTCTCGAATTTTGTAACTTTCCGATGAAGGTAACGTTATCAGCATTTTAAACAACTGTCAGTTTTCACTAATGAAGATCATACATGTTCTTTTTTCATATACAGGAAATGATAATTATTTTCCTCTAGAGAATAAATATACTTCTTCTTTAAATTAGAAACAATTCAGCAGCGTGGGTTAAACACACTGTCATTAGGGATAATATTAAAAATCGACTTTCTAAGGCAGATACTTATGTGCATGGCCTTTTTGCTGAGAAAATGGCTACAGTATCTTTCATGAAAAATTGTCTTTTAGTAATGCGACCTTCTTTATCATGTGTTGTACCCTCATGCGGATCCCACTGTTCGAAAAAGGTTGCCCATGATTGTTTTAAACGGCCAAACGAAGAGTGTTAGCAGTTGCGTATATACGGGGTGATGTGGTCGAAAATGTATGTTAAAGAGAGATAAAGAGAGAGAGATAGAGGGAGAGAAAGAGAGAGAGAAGTGTATTGTACACGTTGATATCTACGTTGATATCTACGTTGATATCTACGAAGTATATCATGCTATTCTGTGTATTATCTGTGGATATGTGGCATTCAAATTGATAGACTGATAAATGTTTAGGGAGATGCAAGAAATAAGTGTACATATTTCTGCGTAAGATAACAGTCAAATCCTGTTCATCGATGCATGCTTTTTGCCCTATTTACACGTTCTTTCCCGTGTTATTGAGTGATAGAGAGAATATACGTTCAATCTTATGTGCCTCTGTGTAAGATGATTAAAATCGTGTTTCTTATTAATGTATGTAGTTTTGCTTTAAGACTGGTGCCTCTCTGTGTGAAGTCTTTTGCAAGACAGAGAGTTGAAAGAAAGAAAGAAAGAAAGAAAGAAAGAAAGAAAGAATTTCATATATAACATACGAAGAGAAATAGAGTTAGTAAGATATAGAGGCAGTGTTTGCGTGTGTGCGCGCACCTGTACTTAAATATATTTATTTAAGTTTTAAGCAATTGTCTTCCTCTGCCATAAGAGCACATAATGTAACAAAATGTTGGGTATTGAAGCGCTTAAAAGCAGGAAGAACAAACACTGAACATTAAAACCATGGCCCGAATTTGCCAGTCTGACACTCAGCAAAATTTCAGGCTTAATCATTGGACTGTTTGGCAAATGTCTGTTAACTTATCAGTCGCGACTCGTCAACTACTTACATACAACCCAAATGAATAAACTAGAGTGCCATAAAATTTAGTGTGCTTGTCTCTGCCACGAAGAGAACAAATACTTTATTGATTTCGTTGACCCCATGATCTTTCCTGTGTTGTTATTACAATCAGAAGCAAATAGGCTGAAAGTGAGACGAATTAGTCAATGAGAAGAGGAAGTTAATCGCTTATTTTTACAAAAATGGTTACGATGATAAGGCCAATTAGCGTAGATATAAATTAAGCTAGTCCCGATAAACCCGCGACTACCCTCATTGAAAAAAAATAATTTTATAGCACCACCGGTCATTAAAAAAAAATACAGCAGGATTCGTAATTCTGTTTAAATCCCCCTCTTTTATAGACGCTGTCGCGGTCAGGTTGTAACTGCCTGCCAAGTTGCGAAAAGAGGGAAAAATTGTAATATTTAAAACTCCCGTGTCTACAATCAAAGAAAGAATGAACGTCATCACTTGATGACTGAGGTGTATATATGCAACTTGAATGTTGCATTATAAACATGATACATTAAAAATGTTTAAGATAATCTGCGTATCTTCCTAGTTATATATACAGTAACTACTTTTGAAACAAAGTCGTAGATTGCTGGCATGGTTGTATCCTGTCGGTACTCCCACATTTAAAAAAAAAAAACAACCGGAAAAAGAAGCTCCACCATCCAGGGACAGGGAGTGTTGTAAAACTAATTCAGCATATAAAAAGGCCTCAAAAATTGACAAAAACAACAATCCGCTAACAAGATGCTTAGGATCAAAGTGGGCGGGGTGTTCTGGGTAGGTTCGCTACGCAGGTAGCATTTTGGTAAATAGTGATTTGAGTGAAGAAGGGTGAGATTATCTGATGAATGAGTCAAATGTAAGGAATGGTTCAAGAATCAGATTAGTTAGGCTT